CACACAGCAGCGTGCGTTGACGCTTGGAGGTGGGCGTGTCTGAAACTTGGGGATTTTTTGCAAGCAACGCGACCAACAACCAATCACATGAATCTCCCGCCCCCGACATACAAAGCAATAGCAATGTTAAAACGAAGTAAACTGGATATAAAATCAGGCGAAAACCTACCAGATTCACCCACTGTCTCTGCCTCCTCCCTCCATGCCTCGCTCCTCCGGTTTGTATCCCGGTAGATGAACAGAGACTGATCATACAGCACCGGGTGATTCACTACCGCTATAATGAATTTTCCCTCCATTTTTTTAAATATGAGGAAATGACCTGCGTAGTCTCTCCCAGCATACACGCCGTTTGATTGGCTAGCGCTTGTACTGGCAGATTTGCATAAACGGGATTTCATTGGCTGACGCTTCTGTCGAGGCGCCAAAAGTTCAACATTGCTCAACTTTTGAAGCGAGCAACGCTCCACGTCGCTTCCCAAAATGCAGTTCGGCTAAAAGTGACGTCATCCCATTCAAAGTGAATGGGCAGAAGCGTTGGAAGCTTCAACGCACGCCGCTGTGTGGACGGGCTCATGCATTTAGCACGGATAAGAGGATGTTGTGAAGCTTATACTGAGCGTCTACACTTCCTAGAAAACAGCCAGCCCTGTCTTGTTAGCATAACGGCTGCTGCTCAGGAGCCAAATTGCTTTTTTGCCGTTCTAGCTCATTTATTTGTTTATACCAATTAGATGAACTCATAGCTGCTTTTATTACAGCCTCTATTCCAACGGGCCGACTTATCTTCTCTCGGAATCGATGCATAAAGTAATAACCTTGTGCCTGGGAACACTCACAGGCGTCCAGCAGAGATGCTACAAAGGTACCCTTTCATATCCCAGCCATGTCAAATAGATTGTACTGTACGCGGTGTCCATCCTCGAGATCTTCTGACAGCGATGCGAGCAAAACAACGCTGTGAGAAATCAATTTCATATTGAGCGTCATGAGGTTGGATGGAATGCTGGGAGGGATGTCTGTAAATGAATACAGGCCTCATGTGAATAACACAAACTAAACCACATGTCAGTTAAACTAAAAGGGAATTAACTACGTTTCTTCTTTGGAGAGCGTCCAAACTTGATTTCGGGAATCTCATACTTCCAGTTGACATTTTTAATAAAGCCAGAGGCACAGACTGAAGACACCACCAGGAGCTCTTTTGAGACAAATCTGATTAAATCCCAGTTTGTCCTTCCTCCTCCTGCCCTGCAGAATACTGAACTGTGCCCGTTACAGGATTGATTTAATTTGAATTTGCATAAAATTACATCAAACAGCAGCGAGTAAAAGGTCACGGAGAAGACAGGGGGGGGGGGGGTTGGGGTGCGTTTTTTTTAGCTGGTTGGTTAACTTTAACTTCCTACATGGACAGGAAATACATGAATCAGAACTCGCTAATTCCTATAGCTAATGCTCTGCCAAGCAATAAAGGGACTTAGGGATAATTGTTACCTGGAGTGTGACGGGGACAGAAATGCAGAAGTTTACACAACAGCCCTGCAGAGATTCCAAAAATCCATACACTGCTTATTCTATAAGAGGGGGGGGGGGGGGGGAGAATGGATGGAGGAAGACGCAGACAGGATGGAGGGGGCCGCTTGGCTGCGCTCCCCGGCATGCTTGCTGTGTGTGAGAAAGCAGCTGTGGTCTACTGAGGATTACATAACACACTGAGACACATACGGGCCGGCGTGCATGTACGCAGATGTGCACACGGCAGTGTATGGATGCATATGGATATTTAATGTTTCAATGTACATTCTATCTCCTTTCTGATCTCTCTAGAGCCCGGGACATGGGTCATCTCTCTGGGCCTTCTTTAGTAAATTCTTCCCCCATCCCTACTTCTTTCACCCCCGTTTCCTAAGGACTCCTCTCTTCTTCTTCTCCGACTGTCTTCCCGAGTGCGCTCCTAGGGGGGTTTTCGAGCCCACCGGTCTGTGAAATGCGAAACCCTGCAGCGGGGAGAATGTGCGTGCTCTGCAACTTCCTCCACCTCTACGTTTTTTCGCCACCCCCAGACGCTGAGGCTGGAGCGGCCTGCCTGGGAAAGGTGCGTGTTGTGAGCCAGAGTGGATGCATGTGAGCTTGCATATGGAGGTCCCGCTCCTTCCACATTTAGAAAAGCCACGTTCAGTCAGTATGGAAGCCCATAATGCACCGTGCGGCGACGTACAGACAGAGTTTTCGCTTGGGTAGGCATCACGCACTCAGTCTACATGTGTGTGTCGAGCCCCTCAGGGATAATATATGTGTTGGAGGAGTATGGAGTGTGTCCTGGGGTCAATGACAGACAGCCATTTGCAGTGTCCCGTTACGTCCTATCCATCAGGGTCAAGTGCTTTGGATGAGATGTCAAAGACATGAATTTCAATCCAGATGTTTTGTCGTTCATATTTCAGCACCTGAACGTTACAGAGGACGTTAAAGGAAGCCGACATAAACAATTTCTGTCCCTACGAAGATGCATAACACTTTTCTCTGGTTCCACATATAAAGTTATGCTTGTTCCAAATCCAGCTCAGCCCTTCTGTTTGTTCCAACTCTGAGCAACCGACTGTACTGGGATTTGGAAGCGAGACAGCACAGTTGAGTTTGGCTCTATTTGGTTCAATAATGGAACAAATAGCAGCCCCAAATGTACCATCTGCAGACCTTCAAAACACTTTCCTTGTTTCTTTCTGCTCCCCATCCCCCTATAAGCGCCTGAATCATGCCTCACAGACACCAACAGGGGACACAGTCATCATTCTGGCCATCACATCTCAGGGAGCCATTTAGGGTCTGACTACAACGGCCTCCTATCTCAGCATCAGGCGCCATAAAAGCATCAAATTCTAAATTGTGCCTGGAATACAGAGGGGGATTGCTCCAGTCGCGTGGAGCTTTTAAGGCTAGCCACAACTCATAATTCATGTATTCAGGAGGGCTCGCTGGCATCTTCGTGTGGCGACAATGAACGCAGGGACCGCTCTGCCAAGAACATCTCTCTGCTGCGCGGGGGAGAGGGGGTTTCACAGTGTGGGGCGAGTCGTAATCCTCATGCTCACAAGGACACTGTGCAATCTTCTTAGCCCAAATATGGGTTGTTTTCCCAAAAACTTTGATATTTACTCCAATTATTCCTATCGAGGCACAAGGGGTTTGAGTCAAAGGCTGCAAATCGGAGAAAAACTGTTATTTAAACTCTAGGAAAGATACATTACCCCCCTGTTTTCTTTAATTGTGTTATACTTTGAATCAGGATCATGATGAAAATACATATTTATGCTTTAAAATCGGCACATTTAGTGGCTAAAGGTGAGAGAAATGTGATGCAGGATTATAGATGCTATCAAGCTGTGACATTTTAAAGTCAATCCCACACTGAATCCATGTTCAAGAGAAGAGTTTATCTCCGATATCACGTGTTAAAGTGACATTTTTGACCAAACACGATGAAAAGCAGCTTCTAAAAAGGAGTAGATGAATGCTTAGATTACAAATATTAAATTACATTTTCTACAGATAATGACTGCAAAACTTGCCGAATTCCAAAATGGACGTTGTCTGAGGGGAGCATAAACTGCAGAAATGGCCAGGGAGAGACATTTCCAGTCCTCACAGCTTCCCCTGCCTACACACGCAGCTGTCTCTCTTCCGTTTGCATTAGGGATCGATTTTTTGATATGCAGGCTGTGGGTGAGAAACAGGGAGAGGACTGCACACATGGCCCCACACAATTCAGAATCCACTGACAGTGTAGCTGGGAGTTGGAGACTTGTTATAAAAAGATCCTAACAGTAGGATGCCAATTAGGCTGCTTGGCCACAACGAATGGATCCGCGGTCACGCACCGGTTTCTCTCTCTCCTTCTCCCCCCTGTCACTCCCCCCTCCCTCCCTTCCTCATACGCGTGGAGCAGAGAAGTGGGGAAAAGCTCCAGCTCCTATTGCATGAACAATACCGGCATCGAATTTCCATGCAATGATTTTTTTTCTTTTGCTCGGTCAGTCAAGTGCAGCATGGAAAACATCATCACCAGCAGCAGTAGCAGCAGTGCAGGTGGGCATACTGATGATGCATGGCCATTATTATGACTTAGATGGGACATGTATTGTTATAAATGAAAGGAGGTGCTCATATTTAAGCATGTAATTCATTAATATTGTAAACGATTAAAGATAAAGCTGACAAATGTAGATGACTTTTGAGAAAGTGCAGATCTTTACGATTTTTTCGCAAGAAAATGCAAAAAGAAAGCCTATATGATTACATTTGTAAGACTTATATTGTATGAATACACAGTTAGGTATGATAATAAACTTCCCACAATGGAATTTTGGACTGACTTTAACACAAAAGTGGGGAGTTTGAGGGCAATAATGGCCTTGCAAAGTGCCGGTGCGCCTCCCCACGCATCTATCACCATGTGGCCGCGTGCTTATCTCTCCAAATGCACCCCTCTGAACTTGGATGGAGGAAGTGTGAGTGTGAGATGGGTTTTTTTTTTAAAAGTGCACGCGTACATGCCAGTGACAGTTATTATTTTGCCTGCGCTGCCTTCACACGTTTTGGCCACCACTGCATTTAAATAAGCTTCAAAGCCAGACATGTTAGGGTATCTATAATGAATAAGTGAGGGGACTTCTCCCTCCATGCAAAGGGGGGGTTTACAACTCAGTAATCTTAGGGATGCAGATGTATTATTCACGACCAATTCAGTCCCTATTATGGGATTCGGGTCTTCATCTTCCCAAATCGCATTTGACAGCTTTATTACGCGCCGGGGTGCGCTCGCATCTTATCCACTTTTCCATCTCTGGGAGAATGATCACATATATGAGTGATGGGGACATTTCATCTCACACATGCACGCTGCTTGTAGGTGGAAAAGTTGCATCTCGAGCGCATGTCAGTGAGCCCCGTGATGGAGGTGGTGCAGACTGGCTAGAGGATCGAAAGTTGACACGTACCTGCTGCCAGTTCTCCTCCAGCGAAGGCATGGCGGAGAAGTAGCCGGTGTCGTGCACGATCTGAAGTTCCTGAAAGATACTGTAGTTCGCTAAGACATCCATGCTGACGCTCGGGGATGGAAAACCAGAATGCTCCACAAGAAACGTGCCTCCTTTCTCGGCTGTGTCAGACCTCTGCATCCACTTCTTTCATATTAGTCCATGTAAGAGGAGATTCATCGGTGAGTGTCGCTGGAAACGTGGCGGTTAGGGTCCCTGTACCTGCGCGCATCATCGGACTCGGTGCGTAAAAGAGACAGGGGGTGATGGAGGCTCCATGCGTATCCGTGTTGCCAAACTAGACACTGATAGGGAGCCAGGGCAAGGGGAGGGGCTTGATAAACGAAGGGGCGTCGTTTAGTTTGTCAATCAACTCCCCTGCGTGTCCATTTAAGGCGAATGGGAGGTGGAGGAGTTGTTTGAGTGGCGGTGGAGCGAGGAGAGGCGGGGTTAGGCATATTTAGCGAGCAGGATTGGCTACGTTGGCACGTCACTCAAGCCGAGTATGTGCTCGATAGGTGAGCTATTTATGGATGGGTATATTAGATTTGGGAGAAGGTCTAAAAGGCTAGTCTGAGAGGAGAAGCCGTGGAGTAAACATCATGTGCTCACTAACAGGAGCTGGACACTGTGTTAATAGGGTGCTATATGGTGTAAACAGTTATTAAAATAAGATGCTTTAGACTGTAGATGACATATCGCTGTATAGGGGCTAAATGCTTAAATAATGAGTAAACTTAACAATATTTTAATCTCCTATAATATGCAGTTGCTGTGTTTCTGTGGAGTGTATTATTAAATATTGTTTGTACCTTTAATTAGGATTATGGGTGTTTATTTTATATTTGTAATACCATATTAGCACTATGTTACAAAAGAAACATCCAAACAGAGGTTAAAGGTCAAATTAAATGTCTTGTAATATGGCACAGCTTATCATACTCACACATTTATAAAGTAAATCAGCATCTGCACTTCTTTTACGCAGCGCAAGTTAAAGAAGAGGGGAAACAAATGCCCCCGAGTGTGTGTGTGTGTGTGTGTGTGTGAGAGGAATGATAGATAAGTAGCCAAATCTTCCTCGATACGTCTTGTTTGGTGGTGTGAGTAATGCCGCTTATTCACTCGCCGCCGTGTAAGCCTTTAGAAAATTGTTCACTTCCACGCAGGCTCAATAGTATTCTCTCTGTCACACACACACACACACACACACACACACACACACACACACACACACACACACACACACACACACACACACACACACACACACACACACACACACACACACACACACACACACACACACACACACACACACACACACACACACACACACATACACACACACACACACACACACACACACACACACACACAGTGTTGTAGAGGTCTGTAATCTCATTACAGTGCTAGGGGAAGGCTGGCCGAGGGCCCCGGCTACGCGATTTACACAGGGGGAGCCGAGCTCAGACACACGATGGAGCTCCCGCTGACATTTATCCATTTGACACAACTCACTCCATCTCTCTTTCCTTCTCCTTCCTCTCATTCACCCTTTTTTCACTTTTCGTTTGCTCCTCACGTCTGCCCCTTATATATCTAGTTCCTCGAATACCATTTCCCTCTTTTAGTGCTCCATCTATCCCCATTTTCCTGTGCTGTACTCAGGAATGAAAAGCTTACAGTTAGACAGATTGAAAACACATGACAGACAAAGGGTTGAGGTCGGTCAGCTGACTATAAATCAACAAAAAGAGGGTCTGGGACTTCTTTGTCCTGTTTAGCCGATTTCCACACGGCTGACTGGAGTGTAAAATATTAAACAGATAAATCCTGTTATTTTAGTGCATATTTTATGTGGCTCTGCAGACTAGCCAAGCCACAAAAACAGTTCAAACAAATAGATTTAACAATAAAAGTGAGTCAATCTTTGTTAGCAATGTTTTTTTTTACTGAACTGAGTTATCCAAGCACCATGTTAACATCATTACAAAACACCAGGGCACACTTTTTTAATGTTATTAGTTGAATAAATGAGCATTATCAATAGAAATGACACGGCTTAGTCGAATACTTGATTCTGATTGGTCCATTTTGACATTTCAAAGGTTATTAATACTCGATAACACACGGCTGCAATGCAAAGTACTTAAAGCATTCAAACTAAAGCATAATTGATGGAAAACAGGGTCGTTAAACCCAAGATAAAGGTTCCAAATAACCCCAGCACAATCTCTAAACCCTCAATGGAATTTTTGTCTAGCCGTTTAAAAAGTCCCGCCGAGTAGTAAAATCCTCAACATATGAGGCTGTAATATCTTCTTCATGTGTATAATAAAACTTAAGAGCCTACAATTGTAAATGACAGTTTTTATGTCTGTGGCAGGGTTACACATGTCGAACTAAAACTATAAATTATACTCCATCTATCCGAATAATCCTATAAGAGATAAAAGATCAACTATAAAGTATACCTATACAACTGTAAATGTTATTACGGACACTATGAGCTGACTTGATTTATATGTAGCAAAGTTATGGGTACTTTACTTTTCCATTGAAATAAATCTTCCTTTTTATTTGATCTGATCTTTAGGACTGCACTTGTTTGAAGCAAGTTCGTGCATTGAAAGAAAGGCAGATATGTATTGAATTGTTTGTTTTGCTGTGTACCACCCATGCAGCCATCACTGGGAATTACCCAAACTGAAAGCCTCGTTTTCAGCTGTGTACCCCGCCTCCTCCTCCTCCTCCTCCTCCTCCTCCTCCTCCTCCTCCTCCTCCTCCTCCTCCTCCTCCTCCTCCTCCTCCTCCTCCTCCTCCTCCTCCTTTTCCGTCTTCCTCGGCCTAAGTCCATGCATATCATAGATACAAAATAAGTGCTCACCATTATCCGTGGGCACACAGCGTTATATTGTGGATGCTGACATTGCTCTTACCTGGCAGTTGGTGCTTTTACTATATTAATAATGGAGCAGGCGCCATCCATCATGGGGATATGAGGCTGCTAATCATGTCAGTTCCCTGCATATTCACTCCCTTCATCAAAAGAGGAGGGGAGGTAGTAGGGGAGAGAGGCAGACGGAGAGGAGTAGTGGTGGTGAGATAAACAAAGAGAGGGGGGAATGATAGGGAGAAAGAGGGGAAGAGAGAGGGAGATGGAAGGGGACAATATCAATGTGCTGAACACATGACAGATGCCCTTGGCCTTTTGCTGAATGGCTTCCCTGTTGGCAGGAGTTAACCAGTGTATTTAAACAGGACAAGACGAATGGGACCTCCACTCCCTCTGCTTACTGAACCAGCCCATTTCTATTCCAACGCACAGCCGGGACGGCATGTGGGAATGCTAATATGGCTAGCTGACATTGGCAGGGTTAAAACTTCATAACGGCATTCTATCGGAAATGTTCACTTTAAAGTAACTTTCCTGAGCTTTTTTGGGAACGTTTGCTGGACGTTATGTCAAAACACAAACCAAAACTTGTTTCCGAGGCTGTTTTATTCTAACATAACATAGTTAAAGTAGCAAAAGTCAATAAACATTGGAAATAGCACCTGATGTTCGCAGCAAGACAATCCCCAGCTCGCCTGTCTATCCATTATTTTCCTGCAACACAGTGTCAGGGCTTTGCTTTACTTCATTTTGCCTCATTTGGCGTAATATGACATCCGCTCGGATGTGTTTCAACATAACAGTTACGCAAATCCGGTGCACTTTCTTCCAGTGCAAATGGCTCCGGCAGAGTGTTTTGATAACCTTTATGTTTAGAGGAAATACGGATATTCAAATGTTCCTCCAACATCTGTCCTCGAGCCTGGCTTTTGCCCGGCCATCAGCGAGGCAAAGTGAATTTCCTTGTGATTGATGGGTCTGGTTAAATAAAGATAAGATTTAGAAAAACGTGGCCATATGTCTGCCGTATGCACCGTGCCTTTTGGCTCGGAGCCTGGATGCTGAACATCTTCAATATCCTGACGTCTTCATGCCTCACACTGCTCTTCCATCGGGGGGTAAGAGCCGGGGGAAGGGGGGGAAATATGGAGGTGGAGGTGGAGGTGGGCAACGAGGGGTGGATTTCAGAGCGACAGGCCGACTGAGAAAAAGCAATAATGAGCGCTTGGGGCTGTCTGGGGTGCAAACTGCTTCCCACACGAGATAGCTGCAAGGGAAGGGAATGTGGAAGGGGGGGGGGGGGGGGGGGGGGAGAGAGTAAAGGGTGCAGGGGAAAGTGCCCTCTCAGCTGGGTGATGTTTGATGCGGCGCTGATGCTTCCTACGCTGGGAAGAACGAGCGGAAACACAGCCAGCGAGGAGGCCATGAGGGGCAGCTGTTAAGTGCCAATTAGGCGACGATGAGTGGGAGACGGAAATACCCATTTGCACACTCTTTCCTGCAAGAAGGCAGGGAGGAGCAGGCAAAAAGTGAAACAAATAGGGCCTAATCCCTGTCAGTTTTCCCAGAGTCTCCCCCCACCCCCACTCACCCCTCTATCTCCCCTCCTGCCTGTTAGGTAACGTCATATCAGAGTCGGCTGAAAATGTGCACCATGATCCGCTGTTCCATTTAGTCGCGTCTCTGTCTGGCCACGGCCCTCTCTTGAAGGCAAATTAAACAAACGTTTTGTAAGAGCTTGTCACATTATGGCAAAGGACAATGCCTCGTGTCAGGCTACCAATTAGGGAGCAGATTCATTCACGTTTTAAAGTCCATGGCAGACAAAATGATAAGGTAGGATGAGCGAAATGGAGCCACGAATGGCACAAGACTTTGTGGTTGGGCACTTCCAACCTAATCACAGAAAAGCTACCCAAAATTCACAATGAATGGCTTCCTGCGCAGGAATCTTTGGAATGGACTGACGTGGATGAGCTCTTCTTCTGCAGAAGTCTGATATGTGCTTGACATATAAGACAACATCAAAATAAAGTACCAGAGACTAGTGACATTTTAAAACAGTCTGTTGAGATAAACTTGGGGAGACGAGATTTGTGCGCACAGTAGATCAGGGTCTTATCAAAGTGAAACAACTTCAAAAGTAATTCTTCAAAGTCTGCGATTCATAGTCTTGAAACGAAAGCCCCTTAGAACACACCGCTTAGCAAATTAACTTTGGTATTAGACCGCTTTAATTAGCACACTGTGAAACCCACTCTGATTGGGACAAGCTAAATGTGCTAATCAGTCTTTACTTCATCTGTTGGTGCCTGCATATCTGTGCATGTCTATTCCACCTTTGGAAGAATATAGACTGAACAAAAATATAAATGCAACACTTTTGT